GGTCAGACAGATGAAGCTTCTGGGCGTGCGGTTTTTAGGTAGGGACGGGGGGGGGGGGGGGGCGGCCGCAGGCGAGGGGAGTGCCGGCCTCCAACGCTGCCATTACCATAAATACTTGTGACGGCTGACTGACGCACCCTGACCCCTCTGTCGCTTTCCCTCTGTTTTGTCGTTCATTTTTTTTTTCTAATTTTCGCTCTTTCTTAATCAGTTTTATCTGTGTCTCTCTCTATCCGTCGCTGCTTCCGAGTGTCCCAACCTCACTTCTCCCCCTCCCTCCCTCTCCCTATTTTCTTAAATCTCTATCCCTCCCTAGCCTCTCTCTTTCTCTCGCCGTCCTTCCCTCCATTTCTGCCCGTTTCCTCCCTCTCTTCCGCGCTATGACCTGATGTTACGCCCATTGCCACAGTGCAGAAATGATGCAATCTTCTGATCAAGTAGCGTTCGGGCAGCGGAGGCCTGCTGAGCCACGCATTCGTCACATTCCTCCGAGCGAGCAGCCACCTCGTCTCGCCCTTAGGCTAGGCCATTGTTTACGTCGCCTTAAAATAAATGTATTAAAGGCTCAAGCTGTAAGTGCAGCGATAATAGCAGACCGCGGAAGGACGAGGGGGCTGTGGTGGGTAATGCATAACTCTTAGAGGAGTGATGATACAGTTTAAATTTTGGAACCGAAATTTTGTTGCAACGAGAAGAAAATGGATGGTGTGCGGTGCGAGGGGAGACTGAAAAAGTGATGGCGTTAGGTGAATATTCATTTTCCTAAGCTGCAGGCTTTGCACTTTTTGCTTTACTAATTTAACAAAGTAGTTTCGGTTTTCTCTGTTTTGTGTAGGTATTATATTGGATTCGCTTTCAGGATTTATTAGATTGTAGGATTTATTCAGTCACGTGAATGTGCATTTTTTTTTCGTTCGTAAGCTTAGGTTCCATGGTTTAATCGCTTGCTTTTCGTCTCTGTTGTTGATGGCGCAGCGGCTGTTATGACACTAACTGCGCACATGGGGCTCGTGCGCGTGTGGCGATGCCTGTGATGAGGGCAGTGTGGTGATTCCGGGAATGAGAGGATCGTTGACGGAACATAACATGTAACGCTGCGAAGAACCCGGGGTCCAGAGAGGCGGCGCAGTGACGGCAAAGGCTCGGAAGGGGTCGGGCCCGGAGGACAAGACAGGGCCGTGGTTCTGTGGGAGTGGTGACCACGGGGTAGACGACCCCTGCCGTCTCAGAGGGTTTTACTGCTCTCCCGACATTTTGAGAAGGTCGGGGGTCGTCTTGGAAGTTACCTCGGCACCGAGGAAGGTTAAGAGGGTCGTGCTCTAACCAGCCTGGAGGAGGTCACGATCCTGCGCTCTCAGGCTTCGCTCGCCCCTTGCGATGGCTGTGGGAAAGGGGCGCGCTTGGTGTAGTTATTGGGTAACAATGATAATGATTATTTTGGCTAAGCATAACAAAAAACAATGTTGTAATTATGAAAAAAAAATGCAATTGCATGTGTTTTGCATGTGTACGTAGTGTCTGGTCGTTAAAACTTTTTCTAAGGAAAAAAGTGGATGCGAGACTACCGACGTTGATTTGAAAAACATTTAAAGGCATTTCTTGGCAAACTACACATCTCTCTGTGATATTTAAAGCCCAATGAACACTGCGCCACCTGCTAATGGCATTCTCACGGACGTAATTAAATGCCATTCAGGAATCTGACACCGATAAGATTACCTACAGGTGACGGCGCACCCACAGCGTAGAGAGATGGACTTGACTTAAGGCAAGGAGCAAGCGAGGCAGGCAGGCGGCAGGCAGGCAGCAGGCAGGCAGCAGGCAGCAGGGCAGGCAGGCAGGCAGGCAGCAGCAGCAGGCAGGCAGGCAGCAGCAGCAGGCAGACAGACAACAAAGACAGACACACCCACAGGACGAAGGGCCAGACAACCGGCAGGCCGGCCGCAGTGAGGCCCAGGCAGCACAGTTCCTGCCGTGTTTTGCCCAACCCAGAGGGCCGCAGGTGAGACAAGCCCTCGAGCTTCATTCTCGATCTGATAACGGATGCTAACTACCTCAGGGCGCTCTGTACCCCACATGCGCGCCGACCCAAGTGGCCCACCTGAGGCGCAGCTTAGTAAGGCAGTCGATGAACCCGTAAAGCGCGCCACTTTTGGTTTTTGCAGCTCAGGGATATGCTACTCCGCCCACGACAGCCAGCTAGCCAAGGGCGTGAGTTGGCAATGACTCAGCCTCCATTATTACCTTAATGACGCCTAAGTGTGCATTGCGATAGCGTGGGCGGGGGCGACGGTGCCTCGCGCAGGATCCCACTCGCACGGCGACGCACATCCACGCTTAATTTGTCCTAGGAAACCCGTGAAGGAGTTTACACTAATGTGATGGTCGATGAAGTGGACCGCAGGGGGACTTTGGGCGGCGAGGGGCGTGAGCAGATTCGAATTCTATTCCGAATGGGCGTGATGCGTCGGGGGAGCGAGTGTTGCTCGGCGGAAGGGGTGTTGCGGGGCGGGCGAGCGCAGGAAGGGGACGGCAGGGCGGCCGGCGGAGAGCGAACGATCGCTGCGCAACACTTTGGGCCCCGATTAATTGCTCCGGCTGGGCGGGAAGGGGCGCGACTGCTGTCATTGGCGACGCATTAGGCGACCGCTTCGTGGTGATTGAAGTAATAATCACGCCGTTATTTTCATCGTCGCCACCCTCCTCCCCGACACAGGCAATATCACCATCATCTTCATCACCTTCATCGTCTTCATCTTTATCATCATCACCATCATCATCATCTTCATCACCATCACCTTCATCATCATCATCACAATCATCTTCATCATCATCAGTCATCATCATCATCATCATCATCATCACCACAATCATCTTCATCACCATCACCTTCTTCATCATCATCAGTCATCATCATCATCACCATCATCTTCATCACCATCACCTTCATCATCCTCAATGTAAGTTTGCCCTCATTTCCCCCTTCATCGCAGTCACTGGTGATCGTCGGATGGCCCCGTTAACCGACTTGTATAAGCCTTCATGAACCCGAGGATAGTCCTCATTCGCGCGGCCAGGCGGGGGTCCGCCCATCTGGACGACCTACTCCGCCCATGGACTCACTGCCCACGCTTCCATAACCGGTACTTCCACTAACTCTTCCTCTCTTCCCCTCCCCCCGCTCCCCCAACCCAAAGGGAGCCTCTGTTTCATTATCTTTTCCTAAACTCCTTTTGATATCGTCTCTCTCTCTCTCTCTCTCTCTCTTCTCTCTCTCTCTTCTCTCTCTCTCTCTCCTCTCTCTCTCTCTCTCTCTCTCTCTCTCTCTCTCTCTCTCTCTCTCTCTCTCTCTCTCTCTCTCTCTCTCTCCCTCTCTCCCTCTCTCCCTCTCTCCCTCTCTCCCTCTCCTCTCCCCCTCCCTGTCACCCTCTCTCCCTCTCACCCTCTCTCCTTCTCACCCTCTCTCCCTCTCTTCTTCTCTCCTTCTCACCCTCTCTCCTTCTTCACCCTCTCTCCTCTTCCCTTCCCTCTTCTCATCCCCGCTCGCTTCTTTTCTCTCTTTCTCTATCATTTACTCTTTTCTTTACTCGCCCAGTCTCCCCCTTGTCTTCCCTCACACCTTTATTTTCCTCACTCCGTCCCTCCCTCTCCTCCTGTTGCTCTTCCCCTAAGCTCTCTCGCGTCTTCTCACTCACCTTCCGCCCATTCCCTTCTCTCCGTCGACGCTTCCCGCCCGTAATTGTTTCTTCCTTTCCTCCCCTGTTTCCTGCCGGCCTCCCTTTCCACCGGCCCCCCTGTCATCTCTCGGAACGTGGCGCGGGCGTAAGGTGGCTCCGATATTAGATGGGGAAATGTACACTGTATTGATGTCTGATGTCCCCGCCGCCCGCGCGAACGTTGCCAACACAAAATATTGCGCGGTAGAGCTTTAAGTTATTGATTCTGGCGGGATGCAGTTATCACTATGTGTCAAAGTTTTGTTTGTTTTCTGTTTTGTACTCGTTTGCTTACCTCGCCCTGCCAACCCCCCCCCCCCTCCCCTTCCTTTTTCCTTCTCCCTCCCCCCCTCCTCCCACCACTTGCTACGTTCCTTCGCTGATGAGTGCTTTTTCGTGTGCGTCTGGGATGAGAACGGGAGGTGAACGGCCAGGCCGACGCTTCATTACGTATTGGCGTATTCACTTCAGGAGTAGTGCTGCTGCTGCTGTTGTTGATGATGGTGATGATGATGATGATGATGTTGATGTTTTGTTTGTGTGTGAGTGTGTGTGTGTGTAAGGGAGAGAGAGTGTGTGTAAGAGTGTGAGTGTGAGTGTGAGTGTGTGTGTGTGTGTGTGTGTGTGTGTGTGTGTGTGTGTGTGTGTGTGTTGTGTGTGTGTGTGTGTGTGTGTGTGTGTGTGTGTGTGTGTGTGTGTGATTGGTGTGTTGTGATTAGGTGTGTGTGTGTGGTGTGTGTGTGTGATTAGGTGTGTGTGTGTGATTAGGTGTGATGTGATTAGGTGTGTGTGTGTGAGGTGTGTGTGTGTGTGATAAGGTGTGTTTGTGTGTGATTAGGTGTGTGCATTTGTGTGTTTCTAAGTATTTCTACGTGTGTGGGAAAGCTACATGGAGTGGAAGAATTATGGAAAAAAAATTAATGAATGAAGTGTCTGGCGTTAGAGGGAGGGTTGGAGATATAGAGAGTGAGTTAGTTTTGTTAGTGATTTTTTGTATGTGTGTGAGTGTGTGTGTAGAGAGAGAGAGAGAGAGAGAGAGAGAGAGAGAGAGAGAGAGAGAGAGAGAGAGAGAGAGAGAGAGAGAGAGAGAGAGAGAGAGAGAGGAAGCGGGGAGGGCAGAGATGGAAGGAACGAGAGATGGCAAGAGAGAGTGGGATGAAATATATGGTTAGAAGGAAGGGAATGGAGCGAAAGGAAAGTGATGATGATGAAGGAGATGGTGGTGTGGTGCGATGCCTGGGTGGTGGAGGTGGTAGTGGTGGCGGTGGTGGAGGAGGTGGTGGTGGCGAGGCAGCCCGCGCGCTCTCAGCTTTAGTCTGGCCTCGCCCGTTGCTCTCGTCAGGCACGCGGCACTACTGCACCGTCGGCGCCCCCTGCGAGTGTCGGCATCAGTAGTACTTCAGGAAAGGGACGCAG